CCAGGGCGAGACTGCCAACTTCTGGGCCCCCGACTACTCCACTGGCAGCTGGAAGCTGACCAAGGAAGTCGTCCACGTCCTCGTCAAGGTCGAGACGCATAACCACCCCACCGCCATCTCCCCTTTCCCTGGTGCTGCCACTGGTGCCGGAGGTGAGATCCGCGACGAGGGCGCTGTCGGTCGGGGTTCTGCCCCCAAGGCCGGTCTTTGCGGTTTCTGGGTGTCTGACCTGTTGATCCCCGACGAGAATGCCCCGTGGGAGGTTGACCTTGGCAAGCCCGCTCACTTCGCCAGCAGTCTCGATATCATGCTGGAGGCTCCTATTGGCAGTGCCCGCTTCAACAACGAGTTCGGCAGGCCCTGCCTGCTCGGCTGCTTCCGCACCCTCCTTACCAACGTTGGCAAGGACGACTCCCCCGAGTGGCGCGGTTACCACAAGCCCATCATGATCGCAGGTGGTGTCGGAACCGTCCGCCCGCAGCACGCTCTCAAGGAGCTCGGGGATGTTCACGATGGCGCCCACGCCATTGTTCTCGGTGGCCCCGCCATGCTCATCGGCCTTGGTGGAGGAGCCGCCTCCAGCAGTGCCTCGAACGAAGACACTGCAGAGTTGGACTTCGCCAGTGTTCAGCGTGGCAATCCCGAGATGGAGCGTCGCGCTCAAATGGTCATCGACGCCTGTGCCGGCCTTGGCGAGCAGAACCCCATTGCCATGATCCACGATGTTGGTGCGGGCGGCTTGTCCAATGCCCTCCCCGAGCTTGTCAAGGACGCCGGCTTCGGTGGCAAATTCGAGCTCCGTCAAGTCCACAGCGCAGACAGCAGCATGAGTCCTCTGCAGATTTGGTGCAATGAGGCCCAGGAGCGTTACGTCCTGCTTGTCAACAAGGAGAACGTCAACCGCTTCGTCAGCATCTGCCGTGAGTTTCCCCTTTGTGCGGATACGTCCTCGCCACCCCCACTGATCACCTTTCACAGGCCGTGAACGCTGTCCCTTCTCTGATGTTGGAACTGTCGTCGCTAAGGATGCTGAGGGCAACGCCAAGCTGACCCTTAGCGACCGCGACTCCCCTGAGCACCCCATGCCCATCGACCTCCCCTTCGACGCCCTCTTCCCTCCTGGCCGCCGTCTCGAGCGCGTCGTCGAGTCTCGCAGACTGGAGCTGCCTACATTCACCGCTGCTTCCGCTCTGGCCGCAGCCGGCGTGGCCGACGCCACCGACTCTGCCGCCCTCATCACCGCCGCCACTGAGCGCGTCTTCCGCATGCCCGCCGTCGGTTCCAAGTCTTTCCTCATCACCATTGGTGACAGGACCGTCGGTGGTCTGTCCGTCCGCGACCAGATGGTCGGTCCCTGGCAGACTCCCGTCGCCGACTGCGCCGTCACCGCGACCTCGTTCAGCATCGGCTCCAACACCCGCACCGGCGAGGTCATGGCCATGGGAGAGAAGCCTCAGCTTGCTCTCATCTCCCCCGCGGCCTCCGCCCGCATGGCGGTCGCCGAGAGTTTGCTCAACCTCGGCGCTGCCGACTTCTTGGGCCAGTTGGACCGCGTGAAGCTGTCCGCCAACTGGATGGCCGCCGTCAACCACCCGGGCGAGGGCGCCGGTCTTTACGAGGCCGTCCGCGCCATCGGTATGGAGCTGTGCCCCCAGCTCAAGATCTCTATCCCCGTCGGCAAGGACTCAACATCGATGAAGGCGTCATGGAAGGACCGCGAGTCTGGAGAGGCCAAGAGCGTCACGGCGCCCATGTCCGTCATCATCACTGCCGTCACTGTTGTCGATGACGTGCGCAACACCTGGACACCCCAGCTCCGCCGCGTCGAGGACGTCGGCGAGACGATCCTCATGTACGTCGACCTCGCCGAGGGCAAGAAGGCCATGGGCGGCTCCGCCCTGGCGCAATCACTGGGACAGATGGGCAACGAGGCACCCGACGTGCGCAACGTGGATCTCATTACGGATTACTTTGATGCTCTGCAGCAACTACACAAGAGCGGCGTCGTCCTCGCCTACCACGACGTCTCCGACGGCGGTTTGATGACGGCCGTCGCCGAGATGATGTTCGCCGGCCGCTGCGGCGTCGACCTCATGCTCGACGGCATCGCCAAATCCGGTGCCCCCAACGACTTGCTCGAAGCCCTCTTCCACGAGGAGCTTGGCGCCGTCTTCCAGGTGCGCAAGGAGGACGAGACCAACTTCAAGCGTTGCTTCGCCACCTGCGGTCCTCCCCCCGGCCTCATCCGCAAGTTCGGCGTCGTCCAGCCCAAGGCCGACCAGACCCTCAGGATCCGCCACGGGGGCCACACGCCTGTCGTCAGCCTCGACCGTGCCGAGATGCAGAAGTGGTGGTCGAGGACGTCGTACGCCATGCAGAGGGAGAGAGACAACCCGGCGTGCGCTGACAGCGAGTACGCCCTCGTCTCCGACTCCACGGACCCGGGTCTGTCGTACAACCTCACCTTCTCCCCCTCGGAGAACATCATGCCGCTGACGGCGTCCCTGGGCAGCCTGATCCGCAAGGCGCCCCGCGTCGCCATCCTCCGCGAGGTGGGCGTCAACAGCCACCGCGAAATGGCCTTCGCCTTCAAGGCGGCCGGCTTCGACCCCATCGACGTGCACATGTCGGACGTGCTGGCAGGTCGGTCACTCGCGGACTTTGTGGGCATCGCGGCGGGTGGTGGCTTCTCGTACGGCGACGTATTTGGCGCCGGCGTCGGCTGGGCCCAGTCCATTCTCGAGCACAAGCACGCGCGCCAAGAGTTTGAGAACTTCTTCAAGCGGCCCGACACCTTTGCGCTGGGCGTGTGCAACGGCTGCCAGATGATCACGCGCCTCAAGGAGCTGATTCCCGGTACCGAGAACTGGCCGACGTTCGTCGAGAACACCAGTAGGCAGTTCGAGGCGCGCGTCGCCATGGTCAAGATCGACGAGTCCCGCGCCGCGACGCCGTCCGTCTTCCTCCACGGCATGGACGGTTCGTCACTCCCCATCGTCGTCTCGCACGGCGAGGGCCGGGCCTCCTTCGCGAGCCCCAACGCCCTCGACAGCCTGGGAGACGAGGGCCTCGCCCCGCTCAGGTACGTCGACAACCGCCTGCGCGTCGCCGAGCCGGAGAGCTACCCGTACAACCCGAACGGCAGTCCTGGCGGCGTGGCTGGCGTCAGGAGCAGGGACGGCAGAGTCTTCGCCCTCATGCCCCATCCCGAGCGGACCATTATGGCAGACGTCGGCAGCTACGTTCCTCCGGAGCAGGTCGAGGCCTGGGGCGAATTCGGCCCTTGGGTCAGGATGTTCAAGAGCGCCAGGCGTTGGGTGGGCTGAGCCCCTCTCCCTCCATTCTAGGACCTCCTCTTTTGGTCGGCTGTTGTTTCTTCTCTGCACGAGATCAGGATGTCTGGTTCCTTTGGCCTTTTAGCCAAAGGGAAGGGCAGCAGAAGAAGCAGGAGAAGAATGCGGTGGCAGTGGCAGTGGGAAGTATGAGATACGCAACAAACAGGGATAGACAAAACATAAAAAAAGTTGAAAATCTCAATTATTATTTTCTAAAGCATTTCATGGCAGGTAGGTAGGGAAAGGGAGGGAGGGCGCAGGGAAATAGGGCGGAGGAGATGGAATAGGTACGTCTATTCAGTCCATAGTTCATCAAGCACATTTGGTTCTCGTTTCCGTGTTTCCTAGATGAGGCGAGAGGGTCCACGCCGTCCAAACCAACGGCAGTACTCGAATCCGAACTTTGTCACGCTGTCAGACAAGTCGGCCTTGGCCTGCGGATAGGTATGGCGAAGTAATTAGTAGTAGAAACTTGCCGCTGTGGCTAGGCATGGGATCTAACGTCCCTCTCTTCCCTTGCCGCGCATGCTCCTGTCGCCCTTAGCAAAACCTGCATGCATATAATCTGTTTAAGAAAAGTCTTGGTGACAGCAAAGCCCTAATGGGTGGGTCTCTTGGTTAACACAGGTAATAGTTAAGGATATAGGAAGTTTGTTTTTATCTATACCCTCTAAGAGGGTAAGGGTTAGTTAGGCCTTGTGAAAGGCAGCCTATACAACATTAGATAAAGAAAGTTAGAAATTTAGTAGGCACACTTAAGCTATCTACTATCTACAGCAGCTAGCTGTCTATATAACCTGGTTATAGATAGAGGGGTAAGGAGAGCAGAGGAAAGGAGAAGAGAAGAGAAGAAAGTATTGAAGGCTAAAGGTGGGTGAGGGTGAGCTAGACGGCGTTCTGACACAGCCACAGTATCGTCCGGCAAACTTACGGGATGCCGCATTCATGTTCTAATGGATCGGTTCTAGAGATGTAAGATAAGAAATAGCGGTGTTTCGGCTCCAGCTCTCTCGTGGAAACACTCGAGAAGATCCGATCGGTCTTGAAAGGAGTATACATACAAGCTGACAATTCCTAGGCCTCTTTTCCCTTTTATCAGGACTTTATCAACTGAATCCATTGTCAGGTTGACTCTGCACAGACCACACGCGCACGATACTCTCGGGTGGATATTGGGGGGGGAGGGGGGCGGCATTGTCAGCTTGTCTGATCACTCCGCCCTTGCGGTTTCGGTTTCTTGGCACTTGTCCGCGTCCTCCACGGCTCCTCCCTTTTTATCTTATCTCATACATATCCGCTACTTACCACCGCTGCTACCGCCACCACTTTCGAGTCAGTCCGCTGCTTAATCGAGTCATCATCCCCTCCGCTCCTCCATCCCACCTGTCACTCATCCGCTCCTTCTCTTGAGCGGTCACACGACTTTTGTGAGCATTTGAAGTGTAGCCGTCACACTGCCGGCACTGCAACGGTGTTTCTCCCGAAACCTTCGTTATTGCGTGCGCATGCGGGAACCTTCTGGTGTCTAGGAGTTTTCTCTCGCGTTTTCGCCGAGAGCCTTTGTATTCTGTCTTTCGAGCCTGCAATCTTTCCTCGATATACTGCACCACCGCGTAGCGCGCCCTTCTTCATCGCCACAATATCGGACAGACACCGCCGTTTACCATGGCACAAAAGCGACTGATGAGCGAGTTGCAGACGCTGCAGAAGGAGAAGTGGGTGCACATCGAGGTCGACGAGAGAAATGTTATGTCCTGGAAGATTGGCCTCATGGTCGTCAACCCTGATAGCGCCTTTAATGGCGCCTATCTCAAGGTTAGTCCTTGCCTCGCCGCTCCGGATCATACGATCCCCTCCCCTAGCCGAGATGGGGCAAAATACTAACAACATACCAGGCCGACATGACTTTCCCTCGCGACTACCCCTATGCCCCGCCAACCTTCCGTTTCCTGAACAAGAACATCTACCATCCCAACATTTACACCGACGGCAAGCTCTGCATCTCCATCCTCCACACACCTGGCGAAGACGAGCAGTCAGGCGAGCAGGCCTGCGAGCGATGGTCCCCTCTCCAGGGCGTCGAGTCGGTCTTGCGCTCGGTGCTGCTGCTTCTGGATGACCCCGAGATCAACTCTCCCGCCAACGTCGACGCGAGCGTTCTGTTCCGTGACAACCGACAAGAATACGAAAAGCGAGCCCGGGAGACGGTCGAGAAGTCCAAGAAGGACATTCCTCCCGGCGTGACGTTCCCCACGACGGCGGATCTGGAGCCGGTGCCCCAGAAGACCATGGACGACGACGCTTTCTGGAACGAGACGGATGATGAGGGCGACTTCGATCTGGGCGGCAGCGACAGCGACTTTGACATGGACGAGTACAACGAGGACGAGGACGACGAGGATGACGACAAGCCCTGAACCGGAGCTTGACCATGGATCTGACGCGGTGGATATCACCCCATTTACAGCAGGGTCTCTTTCTGACTTTGGAAGCGGAGTTTGCGGGTGGACTGGTTATCACTGTTCCTCTCTATTTTTACCCATTCTTACTATACGCATGATGATGCATAGCGACGGGCCCGGGCGTTTTCACCAGTTGTCAGCCAAGCCTGTTTAAGGCCAAAAATGGATTTCACATATTATTATTTAGGCAAAGTTGGATCTCGGGGAGGTCTTCTGGAGACGGCTTTCCGCACAGGGAACCGGAGGAAATCGCGTGTTGGCTCTGCGAGGCACAGAGAAGTGGCGGCCACAGTTGGGCGGCAATGATTGGCAAGCCAGCGAGCCGTGACAACGTATGAGGTATCGCATATAGACCAATCAAGTGCTTGAATTGTCGTTTTCTGCACATACATCCCCAGCATGAGAACCAAACTGCTTGTTTTTGGGGCATGCTCTCCTATGCCTCCTTTCGAATTTGGTGTCGGTTGCCAGGGGAGGTTTTGAGAAATGACTATGTGCCAACTTGATGAGTGACGCAATCCCTTGCGGCAGCCGGAGCCACCCTTGAACTGCGGCTCGCCAGTGCAAGGAAAGCTTACCGAGCATGGGGGGAGCCAAAGCCGCGTGTGCCGTTCCAGTCTACCTAAATGAGTATGTAATCAGGAGTCCAGAAGTCTCTGTGCCAATCACGGCACTTGCCCCGCTAACTGACACCTTATGTGCTTGTCTGACAGCATCCCAGGTACTTTGCTATGTAGGTAGTCTTGTGCACCCAAAACGGACAGGAAGGGAAGAATCCACAGATCTCACGCGATAGAGCTCCTTTAAATGTTAGTTCTCTACCCAGACCGTGTATCTGAAATGGACTTTGGTGGTCAGTCTCTGGTAGAAAGTGGCCGTCATGAAGCTCGAGGAATGAAGGGCACTGGGACGAGATAGTGGGGAAGTCTTCCCGCTAATACGATTAGGTCGGCTGCACTGTCCTTCCCGTACGAGGGCGGCAACTCGCGGGGCTTTACCAGCTCGACTCTCGGCGCGGCCTCCACACACCTGCCTGCCTCAGCATTATCTAAGGCGTCCCCGAAGAGACAACGCAACGGGACGGGACGAATTCAAACCTATTGGAGGCCCTTCTTTCCTTTCGTGTTCTCTTGGAGCCCCTTCTCATCTCTTTCCGCATCTCCTTTCGCACCCGTGCGGACGCCCAAACCCCCGGCCCTTCGGCCTCCACTAGCACGCAGCAGCTTATTAGCTGCAGTCCGTTTGACAGTATTCTTCCAAGCATCTGGCTTAGCTCCATGCGCCAGACTCCTCACAATTCGACTCTGTCTTTCTGATGGCCTTGCGCAAGCATCGATTCTCCCTCCAGCACCCCATCTAATCGATCCGACCGGCAGATTCGACTCGGTCATAATAGCCCCTTCGAGCCAGGGTTCGGCGCCATGGCGACCGAACCGACGTCAGCGGACGTCGCTCAGTTTTGCGAAATTACCAGTCTGGACCCCGTCCTCGACCGCAGCCTGGTTATTTCCGCCCTCAAGGTGCGATGCCCACGGTTGACGGGTCGTCAGGAAGCCCGCAATCTCTCGACGATACGCTGACATGAGGACGCAGAGCAACACCTCTTTGGAACAGCTCATAGGCGAATACTACGAGGGCTCTGACGCGGTACGTGGCTCTCTGCAAAAGCACCGGCATCGAAGCTAACAGAGGCAAAGTTTCGAAGGAAGTACACCTGGGACGACACAGCTTTCGGCGCCGGCCGCGAGGGAGAGCCAAACAACACGGGCATAGGTAAGTCGGATCGACAGTGCAGTTGGAGGGGATTGCCGTGCTGACTCGTGCGTCCCAGCTTTCAATATCGAAGCGCCCGACAATGCCGTCATTCAAGGCGTTACCCCTCCGCCCGACACCGGATTCTACGGGCCCTCCGTCGGAGCTCCCTCACGACCACCATCGAGAACCAATAATCGATCGCCGCTTGGTAGGATGATAGAATGGACGGCCGGGGACACTACCGGTACTGCCCTCCGTTCCATGAGGAACGATGGCTAACGAAAGGATACAGGAGCGCCCAGCAGTGCCGAGCAGTATGAAGAGGACTTGCAGCGGGCCCTGCGTGAGTCGCAAGCGGACGCTGGCTTCAAGCCGCAGGAAGCTGGCGTCACAGATACTGGCGCAAACGCGACGTACTTCGGGCCGGCCAACAGGCCCGACTATGACCAGAACAGCTGGGCCATGGTGACAACCGCAACAACTTCGAGCCAAGCTGTTGTCAACGGCGATCCGCCACCCTCGGCAAGAAAGCGAGAAGAGGGTGCACCCGCATTCCTCATCCAGAAGCCCAACGCTCGCAACTCGTCGCAGCGATTGGGCTCCGTGCTGACGATCCTCCACGAAATTCCTCTGGCGCGCAACGTTCTTCTACAAGCCGGCAAGCCGGCTGCCAGTTACGGCCACAATAGCGAATGGTGGAAGGGTCAGCCGATATATGCCCCCCACGTCCTTGCCGCCATGCAACAGGGCGAGCTCCAATGGTCGGAAGAATCGAAACCAGACTTTCACGAAGAAATCCACCGCTTGATGGCCTTCCTCGATCTGACCGAGAGAAGCTATGGATCGGTCGAGACCATGGCTGATTTGGTGCCCAAAACCAACTTCAGCCCCGAGAGACAGTTCTACGACACTCTTGACGAAAAGACGGATGCAGAGGTCCTCAAGCCCTTGACCCACGTTGCCTGTCCATTGTCGCTGCAGACGTTCGAGCCGACGCAAGAGCCAACGCGGTTTGCGTTCCTCAACTTCGAGTTGACTAAAAGCCAATGTGAGCAAACCAAAACTCTCTACGATGCTTGGAACTGGATTGTCTGGCACGAGTCCATGACGTGGGCGGAGCTCCAGCCGAACATGGGGATGGTTGTTCTCGACGACATGGGCGAGATAATGACCGTCAACATTGACGCTGAGGACCCTCCGGAAAAGTTGGAGATACCCGAAGTCTGGTATCCAGAACGTTATCTCGTGAGCCGGAAGGAAGAGGCGAGGGTTTGTCAGGAGCACCTCGCCTGGATTTCCCGGGCTCTATACGAGGCTAATTCGAAGGAGTTTGATCTCACCAAATGGGTCGATCCCAAGACGGACAAGCTCCATGACAAGGAGGAAATGCTGGAAAAGACGATCAAAGAGTACGAGAGCCATGTGCAGTACCTGGACGGGCTGGGACGCTTTCGAGAGCTGCAAAAGCTCGAAAACGAAGATGAGAAGCAGTACACGCGCCTCGAAGATGTACCTTGCGTCAAAACAGAAGCCGAGGAGGCGTTGGCCAAGAGCTCGCAACAGGTGGTTGACAGGTGTGTGTGGGAGCTGTCTCAGCTGAGAGAGACGAAGAAAAGTACGGCGAGGGCCCCTGACGTCTTGAGTATGGAGTTGCTAATCTCATTCACAGGACTTGATTGGGAACGCGAGAGACTCATTGAACGGCAACAGTTGGTCAGCAGCACTCTGCTAACGGACCCCAACAAGCCGGGCTTGACCAAGCCGTTCACCAGCAAGAAGTATCTTCTCAGGGGAATCGCTACGTCGCAGAACGTGACCTACGTCTGCAAGCGAGCCGAACCAGCCCTGATTGACTTTGAGGAGGCATCTGCTCCTGTGGACCAGTGGTGGCGCCTGTCATACGAGCAGGGCAGCGCGAATCCTGCAAAGGCCGAGGTAAGCCAGAAGAGCAGAAGCGATTAGCACGGCTCGCATGTTGACTCGAAACAGAAATGCTCGTTTGAGCAGGTGATGGAGAAGATGTTTTGGGAGACTAAAGGCCCCCTCCTTGTTTACGCCACAGAAGACGCGATAAACACACCGGTATCACCGCTGTCGGACGCCCTCCAGCGATTTGCTCGGGCAGAGAATAAGAACTTCAAACAGGAACTGAACCAGGAAAGCATAGACGAGAGCGTACAGTCGAGGAACACAAACATGTCGCCAATCTCACCATCAAAGAGGAAGTACCGCTCAGGCAGTGTCGACTCTATGGCCACCAACCGAGCCTCCCTGGGGAACAGCGACACCAACTCAAGAGCGGGCGACTTTGACAACGATCCCTTTAGCGATGGAGACGGCACAATGGACACTGAAATGACGGACATGGCATCGAGGCAAGGCGCCACGGAGATGTCAAGTGCAAGCCTGGCCGAGTTCATGCATTCTGGCGACATTCACGACACGGCACGGCCTCGCAACACCAATCCACCCAGTCCTGGGCAGCATGGGCTCTCAGTCCCGACCACCGCCGACGATATTAGCCGTACCGTGACGCCAGACATTGAGGATCAGACCAAGGGCCCGGAGATGCAAGAAAGGCTTGGCAGTCCATTCATGGCCAGACATTCAATATATGGCATGGCACACGACCCCAGGGATGAGCAAAAGACAATGAAGATGATGGACATGGAGATTCCTGACGAGCATCAGTAGCGCCAAGACTAGATCTAGGGCATCGCAAGGGAACATACAGGCATGCGGTGGGTTTGCGCAAACGGCTTAGGAATGATGAGCTGGGAGGCAATGACATGAAGCAGCGTTGGCTTCTCAGCTGCCCTGCAGCAAACAACAGGCAGAGCGTAACAAAGTACTTTACTAAGAATAGCGGCACTTCGGCGCAATACCAATTGTTTGATACCCCGTTATGTCCGTGTCTAATTGGCATGTCTGGGCTGAATGTAGGAAGCTCTGAGCCGTGTAACAGAGAGTTGCGTAGAAGGTTCTCGAAGCTTCCATTTCTCTCGACCAGTTATCCCCAGTGCCCACGGGGATGGGCCTGCTTAGTGCGACGCTCGGGCCACGGCACGAGCTAGACTCCGCCATTCCCGCCCGGCAGAGACCCCGCCATTTTCGTCATTGTCCAGCTTGTTGCGACAGCCTCCATGCTTTTGCAGAGCTCAACCTTTGGCAGGTATATAGACGGCAGAGGAGGCGAGAGAGAACCATCTACTTATGCAAGGCGCTTGGGCTGCGAGAAGGAGTCTGAAATTAGGCCAGAAGACCTCACTTGGTTAGCATGCGACGGGTGAGCTATGCACATCCCTCGACCGAAGGACGATCGGGGAACAAGCTTGGGTGGGAACAGCCCCAGCCAGCCCTTCTGTGCTCTTCCATGCCATCAGCCCAGTGAGATCACCGATTTCGATGCCCCGCCGCCGGGTCCCAGTCGCAAAACCGCACGCACAGGGGCTGTCGCCCGCCGCCGCCTGGCCAAGGCTCCCTTGGAATACCTCTGAAAGACGAGCACCGAACCTTCCACAACCAGGGCCTGTTGCTTCCATCCAGCGCCGCCGGAGGGCTTCTTCTACCACTAAATGCTCCGGGCGCCCCTGTCATTTCTTGGGCCTCCTCAAGAGTAAAAGGTCCTAGGTACTGAGGTACTTGGGCACACACTTACCTGCTTCTATTGGCCATCCCCTACATACATATCACGCACCCGGTCGTTGCTGCATCATCCAACCACTTCTCTTCAAATCTTCCTTATTTTTTCTCCTCCTTTCCCTACCCAACCTTTATCTTGCTTTTTCACCCCACGCTTTCAATTACAAACTACTCTTCAAGGGTTTACACCCCAGTTGCAAACAAACTCCCACGATACCATCGAGCACACTCAAACTCGTGGCGATATCCACGAGCCATAGGTTTGATTAATTAGACGACAGTACTATAGACTATTGCAATGGTCAAAGAAACCAAGCTGTACGACCAGCTGGGCGTGAGCCCCACGGCAAACCAAGATGAAATCAAAAAAGGCTACCGGTAAGTGGCAGAGCATCTCACGATGCCTCCCCCCCCTCCATTTTCGCCGACGTTGTTGCCCAATGATGACGGCCCAACCATCATTTGCCCACTCACGTACAAATACAAACGACCCTATCAAAGGCAGCATCGCTAACTGTCGCGCGTATACAGAAAAGCCGCACTGAAGTACCACCCCGACAAGAACAAGGACAACCCACAAGCCGCCGAAAAGTTTAAAGAATGCTCGCAAGCGTATGAGATCCTCTCCGACCCCGAAAAGCGCAAGATCTACGATGACTACGGTCTCGAGTTCCTGCTCCGCGGAGGCGCCGCCCCGCCACCTGACGGTGCCGGTGGTAACCCCTTCGCAGGTGGGGGAATGCCTGGAGGATTCGACTTCGGCGGCGGCATGCCTGGCGGCGGCGGTACACGCACCTTCCGCTTCAGTACCGGTGGAGGAAACGGAGGTGGTTTCAACTTCAGCTCCGCAGACGACGTCTTTGCTGAATTTATGCGCTCAGGTGCTGGTGGAATGGGCGGCGCCGGCGCCGGCGGAGGCATGGACGACTTTGCCGACATCTTCACGGCCTTCGGCGGAGGCGGCGCCCAACGGGGTGCCGGCCGGTCACAGCGCGTGCGCACCGGGTTTGGAGACGTGCCGCGGCCCAGAGAGTCGACCCCCGAGGTCACGACGGTGGAACGGCCCCTGCCGCTCACGCTGGAGGAGCTGTTCCGTGGCGTAACCAAGAAGATGAAGATCAAGCGCAAGACTTTTGACGAGGCGGGCAAGAGGATGACCACTGACACGGTCCTCGAGGTGCCCATCAAGCCGGGTCTGAAGAAGGGCAGCAAGATCAAGTTCAAGGGTGTTGGCGACCAGGAAGAGGGCGGCCAGCAGGACCTGCACTTCATCGTGGAAGAGGTAAGTCGGGGGTTGTCCCCAATATCGAGTAATTCTGCAGAGGGCGGATCGCTAACAGCCGGCAGAAACCCCACCCGCTCTTTGTGCGCGAAGACAACGACCTAATTCACACGGTCGACTTGGAGCTGAAGGAGGCTCTCACGGGCTGGAGGCGGACCGTGACGACCATCGACGGCAAGCAGCTCAACCTCGACAAGAACGGCCCCACACAACCGGGAAGCACCGACCGGTACCCCGGCCTGGGCATGCCCATCTCCAAAAAGCCGGGCACGAGAGGAGACTTCATCATCAAGTACAACGTCAAGTTCCCCACGACCCTGACGGCGGCCCAGAAGGAGAAGCTGCGGGAGATCCTGTAAGAGCGCTGATGCGTAGACGTGCCGATTCACACGCGAGACGAGACATTGCGTGGTGCGTGTAGATATGACGCCAGCATGAGCGAAGACGGGATTGTGAGCGTTCGACCGCAATTAAACGGCTCATGAGGTTTGGGGGCTGGTTTCTCATCATGAAAAGGAGTTGGGGCGTATTCTGGGACACATTTTTTTGTTTTCTTCTTTTCCTTTGCATGTTTTCCCCCTCAGCATTGCGGCTGTTGCGAGTAGGCAAGTGCGGGTTGGTTTACCCATCAAAACGCAAGTGCCTGCGGACAAGTACTTAGACACTAGGTAACCCAAGATTGAAACATTGTTTCGAATGGATGCAGATCGCTCATGCCCGTGACGGCAAATGTTTTGCTCTGGTGGCCGAGTGAGCAGTTCTACGATGTTCACGAGGGAGATAGAAGCCTGGGGTTCACGATTTGGAGAGAAGGAGGGAACAGGACGACGAAAGCTGGCGCCGGCCATGACGCAGAGGGTAATTGAGATCCGACATGCTCCGAAGCGCAACAGGCCGCTGTGCAATCGGGTCTATCAGGCCGAGGAGACCAGTTGGATAATTACCTCGGGGTGACCGAGAATGGGCTCACCGGAATCAAGGTCCAGAAGGCCCCGTGATCTTGCCCCCCTTCCTTTCTCCTTTCCCCCCCTTCAGTCTCGACCGACGGACCGTCGACCTCAAGGAGGAAAAAGCCGTGCAACGTTTCTTGGTTCCGAGCGGGAAAGGCGGCGGCCGAGCGAGGTGTGCCCGGGCAGACTATCTGACAAGACGGGGGGGGGGGGCTGCCAGGGAGGACCAGCCGTACCCAGACGAGGTGGCCTGACCTGGCCTTAGTGAGCGTTTTTCAGGCTCGCGCGCCCTGATTTTCTTCGCGGCAGCATGGGGGGTGGCGGATGCGGGTGACGGGGCAGGACTGCTGCTGGTTCATGTCTTGCAGATGAACAACCACCTCTTGCATGTTCGATAACGGGGGGCGGACGGCCGGGCAGGCAGGTAAGCAGGCACCCGGGTTGCAAGAAGAAGAAAAAAACACGCACACTTTAGAGCCTACTGCCATAGGGGCGGGCCACCATTCAGTCCACTTAGGTGCTCTACAGCAATTATGTAAGCATCAGTTCGGTAGTGGTTCTCTCACATAAACCAAGTCGAATTGATTATGGGCCTTTTTACACTTCCAATCGGTTATTTTTTCTTTCGCATTCGATATGCGTGGGTACCGAGTCTACCCTCGTTGTTGTTAGTCCCTCGCCCCAGTATGTTAAACTGTGCCTGTTTTTTTTTTTTTTTTCTTTTCCCGCAAACCCGGGCGGCAGGCTTGGTAGTGTGTACCTAGGTTGATACGGGAGCATGGTGTAGTCAAGTAAAAGGCCAAAACCCATGATTGGTTGGAAATCTAACGCAACTAACTGTCAAAAGCCCAAAAAGGATGGCTGCTCCCTCCCCGCCACAGATAACAAATAAACGGCCAATCGCTTTAAACGCCGCTACTTCCAAGCACACAGGAACCGTAGGAGACAGACGTAGTACGTGCCGGGTTCCAGTGTCGTCAAAAGTGACAGGATGCCAGCTTCAAGAGGACAAGGTCTAGTTAAATGAAGTGCAGGCCAAAACCAATCGTGAGATGGAGGATGCAAGCGAAGCATTACCGGGGCCCTGAAAGAGTAAAACGTCGCCAGCCAGAATGAGCGGTCACGAGAGGTGCTGGTTGTATATAACCGTTTTCAAGCTCTACGAGCTTGGGACTCGATTCTATCTCATCTGCTCACACATCCTTTTTGCTTACCTGCTTTCTCGGTATTTTGATTTACACGTCTGCTTGCGGAGGATCTGGTTCGTTTCACAGCCTGGTTCGCCTCTCAGCCCTGGATCTATCAGCTACTGTCACTTGAGGCTAACCTACTATCAGTAAACCAAAGACATGCAAAGGGTATCATCGACGCCGCCGCCGCCGTCTTACACTCGGGGGCTCCAAAGCACCTCACCGCAGGATGACCAGGCTCTGCCGTCCTATAGGGATGCGGCTCCAACAGATCCGACAACGTCCCCTTACCGGCCGTTCCCAGCAGTGATGAACGGATACTAATATATGACGGGAATGAAAATGTTCTTCTTGTGTGGTGCCTACAGCGACGAACGCCTGTTTATCGTCGAGATACGCATTGGCCTCAGTGGAAAGGGGCCACTGGGGGTGGCGACACGGGATATTGCTACATAACGGAACAAGCAACAAGGACGCCATCATCGCGGCAGCCGGCGACGACTCACCCTTTGCTTCGCGGGCCTACGCATTCAACTCCGCTACTGTCGTCTACCTGCCCCCTCTCGAGCCTCGGGCTAACATCCGCGCTATGGACACGTAGATGATGCGTGCTGGGTTGGCCGGCGACGATGTCGTTTTCCTCTTCTCCGTCGAGGTCGGCGAGAAGCAGCAACGCGAACGTTTTGAGTGGAGGAAGATCAGGAAGGGGGAAGACGACGCTGCCAAATCGGGAGGATACAGACTTGCACAAGTGTCCAACAGGCACAAGGGGACTAGCACGAGCCGCGACGTGCCTCCCAACGCCGAGGTTCTTGCTCTGTTGTCGTGGTCGCCTGGTTTATCCAAGTTAACACATCCGTTTTCGCTGCGGCTCCAAGGCCGTGCGATGTCAATGGGAGACCGCTGGAGCCTTATGGTTGTGGTTACTGCGTTAAGGCTCTGGGAGCTTGTTCTTCAACTTGGGACAAGCAAGACTGGGATAGCAGTAGAGGGGAAGCTTCGGGGAGGCTCAGCGGATGTAGAGAATTAGGTAGGGGTAGATAGTTACCGGAATGAGACAAGGAAAGTTATAGTGGTGCTACAATGAGTAAATGCCCCACAACGAGAGGCAACCCCGCCTGGGAGCACGTTCTCGTCTTTCTTCAATCTTCACAGGCCCGCGCGCGCTTTCGTCCCGGGCATGTCAGCAGGAAACAGACCTCCCCCCTCTCTACGCCGCCAACCGAAGAACTCGGAACAAGGCGGCGGTGCTGCTGGTGAATATAAAACGAGGTCAGGAGGGTCGTTATTAAGCGCAGTAAGAGTCAAAAAGAGGAGCGCCCATGCGGAGGGAGCAGATCGAGATGAAAGCCCCCGTGGGACAACCGGTTGGTTGCTGTGGGCCCTTCCGCCGGTGTTGGTGTCCTGCTTATTCGTACGTACTTGGCGTCCCCTCTGCTCATCCGACAATCCCCCGTGCCTCGGCGACTGGGCCTCGTCGCTGTCATCGTCGCATTCTAGGATGGCACGCACGAGGAGAATGTCCGCGCTGGTTCGGTAACCACCGCATGGTGCGCTGCTGCGATGGTTTTGAACCCCGCGGCTATGACGACACTCGACATGTCGGAGAAGGGGCTGCTGTGAGACGGCGCCCGGTGGAAGGAGGGGGAGGGGCAGATTAAGGCATTTGGTGGGGGTGCGACCATTGTAGGTTAGGTACCTTATGGTGACCGGGGAGGGGGGGGGGATCATGTGCGGCGCCGGTTACTCTAAACTGGTGTAAGACCATGTCCCCTTCGAGAGCTTTACAGCGCCTCCCATTGGGCTCGTTGGGACGACGAAAACCAAGAGCCGGCTTGAGGGAGGCAGGCAGGCCGGCTGGCCGAAGGAAGAAAGGAGGACTAATTGATTCCATGCCCGTTTTGGGTTTCCCTTTATTCCACTCATCGGTCTTCCGGCCCTTTTCCCCTTTTCTCACATTTCCCTCTTCCAATTCAAAGTCCAAACCTCGTCTTCAGTATCGACCGTCAGCGTAGTCTTTATTGCTTCTTCCAGCTTCCCATTGTCTAGCTTTTCAACTTGTCAATTGGCCTCGGATCATAAGCGTTTTCGCTACGTGTCTGACTCGACATAGCTCGGTGAACCCCGCTCTTGACGCTCTTCATAGACGCAGCTCTCCACCTCGCCGGAATCCCATCCGTAAATACCGCCAACATGCCTCAGGTGAGTGTTGCAATGTATACGCCGTGTCCGAGCCCCGGGTCGCGAGCCCGTCGATGCTGACGAAGGGCCTCCCTCTCCAGATCACCACCCTCCTGTTCGACTGCGACAACACGCTCGTCCTCTCCGAGGAGCTCGCCTTCGAGGCGTGCGCCGACCTCATCAACGAGATTTGCGAGGGCCGCAATATCAAGCAGCGCTTCACGGGCGAGAGCCTGATCAAGGAGTTCGTCGGCCAGAACTTCCGCGGCATGCTGCTCGGCCTCTCCAAGATGCACGGCTTCGAGATGACTCCCGAGGAGCTCGAAACGTACGTGACGCGCGAGGAGGATGCCGTCATCGCCAAGCTCAAGGCCTCCCTCAAGCCCTGCCCCGGCGTCGACGAACAGCTCGAGGCCCTGCAGAAGAGCAGCAAGTACACCATGTCCGTCGTCTCGTCCTCGGCCAAGCGCCGCGTCTGGGCATCGGTCGTCAAGGTCGGCCAGGACAAGTACTTTAGCGAGGACGTCGTCTTCAGCGCCGCAACCTCGCTGCCCAAGCCCACCAGCAAGCCCGACCCGGCCATCTACCTGTACGCCATGGAGCAGCTCGGCAAGAAGCCCGAAGAGTGCGTCGCCATCGAGGACTCCAAGAGCGGCACCCTCAGCGGCACTCGTGCCGGCATCAAGGTCATCGGCTACGTCGGCCCCTATGCCGCCGACATGCAGGCTGAGATGGAGAAAGTCCTGCGTGACGCCGGTGCCGTCATCATCATGAAGGACTGGAGCGAGTTCCCCGACGCCCTGGCCAAGGTCGAGAGCGGGAGCGCCTGACTAGCCGAGGTAAAGATCCCGTCGCCGTTCTTGTGAGGTCGGGAGAGGGGGGGTCGCCGGCGGTTACTGCATAAAGGGCCAGCCACAAGGGCCATGCATTTCGTTCTCTTCTGGTGTTAAGATAGCAGCTGGACACTTCTGGCTCGCGGGTGCTCGACGGATGCCTTCCAATATAGGTAGACAGGCCTATACAATAAAGAGAGAGAGAGAGAGAGAGACTAAAACCATTATTCATGTCTTTCACCTCCGGTGGTCCATGAGAAAGCTGTTGACGCTCTGCAACGTCGCCCGGTTGGCGTTGGCCTCGGGAAAGGCCGTCATGATGGTGCCGAGCCGGACGCGGATCATGTCCTTGTTGAAGAAGGTGCTGGCGTCCGCCACGCGGTACCCGCCGTCCTGATCGAAGCACCAGCAGTAGACGGCCAGCGCGGCGCCGATGGACAAGTCCCTGCCGGACTCGCAGGCGATGACCACGTCGGCGTCGCGGTGCGCGCCGAGGTGGCGGGCGACGAAGGCGCAGATGTCCGGCAGCGCCTGTCGGAGGTTGCGGCTGGCGACTTTGTGCTTGCATTAGCCTGCGCGCGCCCTAAAGGAAATTTAAGAACCCATGGCAATCCAACAATGATTTTGATAATCCAGCGAGGACTCCTGGTCAACTTACTTGTGTCGCGAGAGGCCAGAGATACTCATCGGAAGGTTACCATCGCGTCATACGAGGCGCGATGACAAAACCAAGGCACTCATGGTAAAGCGTCATGATTAAAAATGGTTCATAGCTGGTCTCAACTTCTGCTGCACTGCGTCCTAGGGACTAGTATTTAGCCCAGCCCTGTGAACAGTGTAGTGCTCATCGAGAAACGCCAATAACATATGCCCTGACTTGCACCACTGTATTTTAAATCTCGAGCGGGCGCTGGAGTTCGTAGTTGTTCAGGGGAACGGGATCGCGCCCGTCGCACTTCAATGGGGGTCCCCATAGCCTGTGTCATGTTTATTGCCCAAGCCTCATTCAGATCTACTTAGGACCTGGAGGGTACCACAGCTGCACCCAACGTGTACGTCACTACACTCGTTTCGTCCTCTTCCAGGGGCAGCGGGCGGACGAGGATCCGCGGCGCCACGCGCTTCGCCGGCACGCCGCGCGGGGCGTTGCGTTTCCGCTCCGCTACGAGCGCCGCGACGGCGTCCGGGAGGTCGGCCTCGGGCGCGGAGAGCAGGGCGCCGGCGTGCTCCCAGAAGAGCTCGGCCGTGAGCCCCAGGGCCCAGTTCTCCGTGTCGTCGCCGGCGCCCTGGATGTAGCCGGCCTCGCTCATCTCGGCGCCGGCGACGCGGCGCGAGGCGGTGCAGCAGATGACGGGGTGGTAGTCGTCGAAGACGGCGCCGGCGGCGGCAGCGGCGGGCGAGAGCTGCGTCTCCTGCGTCACCCAGAAGGGCCGCAGGGGCTTGGCGAGGCGCGCACGCAGCGGGGCCGGGTCGATCTCGAGGGCCCGCAGAGCGGCGAGGAAGGAGGGCAGGAGGGCGGCGATCTGGGCGTGCTCCGAGGCCGAGACGACGTTGGGCGGGGTGAAGAGGCGGTCGGCGTGCGGGAGGTCCGGGAAGAGGGCCATGTTGAGGACGGCGCACCAGACGGGAATGGTCTTGCTCAGCGCGTCGGGCATTCCTGGGGGAGAAGGTCAGCGGGGGGGCCCGAGAAGGAGGGAGTGGGTGTGGCTTACTCTTGCCTCGGCGTGTTGAGTCGACGATGATGCATCTGTGAGCTAGCTGTCAGCGTTGCTTGCTCTCAAGCGAGTTCACTACCCCTCCCGCCTCCGCCATCAAATAACCCACGGGCATGAAATTGCCAAGTCAGGTCGCGAAGTCGGAGCCATCCCAAACTCACCCATCATGCTCCCCGATGAGCTCGAGCAGGTGCAGGTTCAGGCGGCGGGTGCTGAACTTCCAGGCGTTGGTGTGGCCGTCGGTGCTCTTGAAGTAGGCGCTCGCGCGCTTGTCGGCGGGGCGGACGTACCAGCTGCCGCAGCGCTCGTTGGCGACGAGGGGCCGGCCGCCGAAGCACGCGGCGGCCTCGGCCACGAAGTCGGCGTCCTGCGCGATGGACCGCAGCCGGTTCGCGATGGACAGGTTGGCGCGCTTGAGGTCCGTCAGGATGTGGGAGAAGTTGTGGCCGGCGGCCGTGGGGAAGATGAGGTCCGAGAGTGCGGGGGAGGAGGAGGAGGACGACGACGACGACGTCTGCACCATTGTGAGAGGTGTGCGGGGGTTGGCGGGCGGGCGGGCGCTTCACGGTGGCTTGGTCGAGTGACGATGCGGGCGTGGTGAGCTGGGCTCGCCTGCTTGAGTGAAGCTCTCATGTGAGAGAAATTTCATGGGTTGAGGCGATGGGGCACCGAGCTCGCACTGTTTCGCACAGACGGTTCACTGCGATTGCATTCATTCTCACACTGTATATTTATCAATTCATTTTTACGAAATGATAGTCACGGGTGGATCTAGTATAACTAAAACAGGGAGAGAGAGAGAGAGAGAGAGAGAGAGAGAGAGATAGAAAAAGGTTCATGAGGCTCTGTCGAGTTGCCAAGCAGTCGTGAATAAGCGAACAAGGGGTGCCACGAGATCGAGTCGAGATTCAAGACATTGGAGGTCTCGCGTCCGTGCTATATCCGTCCCTTTGAGGCGCGTTTTTCAGCCGCAAGCTAGGGACGCAAGGGCCGACGGCTGTCATACCTCCCACGTCGTCCCAAGATCCAAACCCCCCGCGCTGCTGCGGGTTGGACTGAGCTTTCGGACCGAGACGAGAGTGGGAAGCTGGGATAGCAAGAACAGAGAGAAAGAAAAAGGAAGAAAGAACAAGAACTCGTGGTCGGAAAGCGATTGCCCGCATCGGCTGCGGTATATTGACACACGCAAGCCATCGTGGCTATGCACAGTACAGCCAAGAGGAGGCGAGGCAACTCTGCGAGAGACACCTGTGTATTCGTATAGGCAACCGCTATAGATGGGCCGCCTTTTTTCCCTAAACCTGCTGCGGAACATTGTAACGGTTTCGGCGGCAAAAAGACTTACGCCATTGTATCCACCAACCGCCACAGACGACTCTATCGTTTGCGCAAGGTTAATTGGGTACCTTGGTACGGAGTACTCATCTTCGACCAGAGTGGGCAAGCACTCGGAAATGGGTGGTGAGAGCGCATGTTCTGTCCGTAGGGCCCTCTCGTACGAGGGACAACAAGTATTCTATGACCGGGCAACGCCTGTCAGTTGGCTTGGTGCGTGTCGCGGCTTGCGGAGGCGGCAGTCAGAAAGGGCTGAGCGGCTCAGGCGATGGTGTTCGGGTTGCCATGGCGGCATGCGGCATGCATGTTGGCTTGTTTTACGTTAGCTTTCGGCATCAGTCCGTTTAGTCAGTCAGTCAGTCAGTGTAGCGTAAGTCAACTGACAGCTCTGGGTCCCGTTCTGACGGTGGATGGGTCGCCGCGATTCGCCGTCGTCGTCGTCTGCAGCCCGCGCCGTCCAAGAAATGGAGGCCCATCGTCGTCCTGCAGGGTGTCATCATTGATGATCGCCCTCCCTTGCCATCCACCCATCACCCTAGAAACCAAAGAGGGGAGAGAGCCGTCGCATGCAGCAAAGCAAACAACCCTCCCGACAACAAGAAGTCAAGGCCTGCAGGGTTCATGAAATACGAGAGACGACGGCGCGTCAGCCATGGCTTTTCGGCAGATGACGAAGAAATGTCCGGATACACCGTGGAATCGGTGCGGACGCACCACATGGATGCACGGCGAGAGGTCCCAGGTACACATAGAACAAAAGGTTAAAAAATACGACGTTCAGACTATTTGCTCGGGAGGCATGGCTTGCAGGGATCTGCCGCTCAGCTGCTCGCATTCGAGCGACGATAATTCGCTGCCTGGCCGCAGTGGCGCAGTGTGCACAGCGGCTCAGTGGCTTGGTTCGCCCGGATCGCAGCCTATGTGTGTTGCGTCTGCGCCATGGGAGTGGACAGTCCATCCCATCCCGTCCCGTCCTTTTTCATGGACCGTTCGCATTAATGTTCGGAAAGGGAGACAGTGTCATCCAATCATCCCATCCAGTTGCTTGTTGAGGAACCGAACCGCAGCATCGGGCGCAAAGGTATACCTACCGTTCTGTGGAAGGGATCCCTACATGCGAAATTCGGGGACCGTTTAAAGTGGAAAACGAAGGATACAGAGATGATGGACGCTAAGCTGCTATGACGAGGGAGCTCAAGTTGTGCAGGCTGGGCCTACACCATTGCCGGGTACCCACTCCACTACACCACCACCCACCGCCAGGGCACGACGAGGGGAGTCGTTGCCCACTGATTCCACATCCCCGTCACTGCCGCAATCCAAGACCAGCCGGGCTGTTTCGTTTTCAAGACAAGGAAAGGGCAGACACGTCCCCGACAACCGCCGGGAACCTTCTTGCTGATGCTACTGCAACTGATACGCCTCCCGTCTTTTTTCTTCCTCCCCAACCAAAACCCAAAACTCCCTTCAGTCCTATCCTCATCTCCCCTCTCGCCCATCCTTCACACTCACTTGTTTTCGTTTTTGGGAGGTTGACACATAGCAATAGCCACTCGCTCCACAGCAAAACAGCAGGTACTCTTATCGATTGGGCCCCCCAATACTCCCACCCCCGCTGCCCTGCCGTCCTGGGTTGTCTCGCCAAACCCCGTTGCCGAGCCGGATTGAGTTTGATCTTAATTTAGTCGAAGAAAAACGGCCAGGGGGAGCTGAAGTGAGTGTCGCATAGCTGGCACCCACCTCCTCCTCAACCCATACCCCCCCTTTCGACCACCGAACACAAGGAAATATCTACCGCATCACAAACACCACAGAGCGACAACCACGATAAGAGCCGACGACATCATGCTCGGCAACCTAGACATGAACCCGGAGCTGGTTCCCCGCGTCAAGCTGGGCCTGCACAGTGTCCAGTTCGTCCTGTCCTTCGTCATCTGGGCGTTGGAAATTGCGGTTTTCAGAGCCGACAATGCCTTAATCGTTGGCAACAATGGCTGGACCTTTGGAGTGGTAAGACTCGCCTCGCACGAGATGCGGCAGTACTCCCGTGGGTAGCTCCTTTGCTGACGGTTTCCCCTCGCAGTGCTTCCTCTCGCTTCCCGCATGGATTTATCTGATTATGGCACCTCGGTGGCCGAGGACAAGAAAACTGGCCAACCCGTATGCCATGGCCATCGTCGACGCTGTTTTCACCATCATCTGGCTTTCCGCCTTTGCAAGCCAGGCAGCATACAACACGGCCAACCAGTGCGGTGATGCCTGCAAACTCAGCAAGGCCATCGTGGGCTTGGGTGTTTTTGTGACGTAAGTTGCCATGCCAGGAGGACAGCTTTGGCGAGACACGCATACTAACCCTCATCGCATAGCCTCCTCTTCGGTGGCTCCACATTTGTCAGTCTGTACACCCTCAAGTACTACCAGTTCCACGGAACTCTCCCCGGCTACGACAAGCAGAAGCTCGGTGACAACATCGACCCCGACAAGGCCGCTTTCTCCATGGCTCCCCATGACGAGGAGGCCTACGCCCCCGTCCAGATGGACGACCACAACGACGACAACACGACCCTCTACGGCGGAACCAACGCCCCCGTCGGTGGCTACAACAACGGCAGCTACAACAGCCGCTACGGGGGTTCTTCCGCCTACGGCGCCGAGGACGACGACCCGAACCGCTACGGCTCCCTGCCCTCGCGCCAGAACGGCGCCATGTTCGACAGCGAGACCGAGTATCACTCCCAGCATCCGGGCTCCTCCGTCTCTCTCGCGCCGGTACAGCCGTACACGGCGCCTGCCTACGACGACGACCGGCCGGCGCAGTTCCCTGCTGCCAACTACGATCGCACGTTACATTAGAACGAAGTCTCCTTTCAGCGGCAAGCGAGCGAGGGGCTGCGATGGCAGGGCCATGGCCCCGCCACTGAGTTTCATTTTCAGTCTTTTTGGTTGAGGGACTGTGCCCAGTGTTCATATAGATGGCTTGGATTTTATTTCCGGATCACGAGGTGTTGTTGGCGTCCCATTTGTACAAAGGTTATCGCAACGATACCAGGCATGAGCTCCATAGGTAGACATCAAATTTGATGAAGTGACGTTCAAAAGTCAAACAAAAATGCCAGATGGCCGGTGCCCTCTTCTTGTTGTCGTGGGCGTGAGCGTGAAACATGTGGTTTTTTCTTTTGTATGCAGAAATTATTCTAAAACGCCATAACTCCTCGATAAAAGGGGACGCGACGGACGGAATCCTCTGAAGCCAGGCGCTCTCTCGTTTCCTTTTTGAAAAGCAGCCTCCCCCCTTTTTTTACATGCGACGTTGCATTCCACGGCCAAGTTGGGGGGGGGTTTTTTTTTGTGTTCTTTTCCCCCCTTGGAACCGTTTGACTTCCCCCCCCCCCCCCCCCCCCCCTTCTTCTCCATGGATATAAACACACATATATATCCCCTTCCCATTACGCCTTCCCTGTGAGCCTCTTGATCCTGCGGGCGATGTCGCCCTCGGTCTGCTGCATGGGGTTCAGCTTCCGGTCGCGGGCCATGGCGGCGACGTCATCGCCGTGCCTCGCCACGAGCCTCTCGAGCCACTCGCGCTCCTGCTGGCTCATGTGCCGCGGCTTCTTCACCGTGGGCCGCGCGGCCTCCTTCTCGAGCAGGCGGATGACCTCGGGCCGGCTCTCGTCGTCGATGCCGCCCCAACCCTCCTCCTCCTCCTCCTCCCCGCCGTCCTCGGCGTCGCTTTCGAGGGCGTTGAGCGGGTCATTGAGCGGGTTGCTGCGCCTGTCGCTGCCGTAGTGGATCTTGACGATCTTGCCGTCGGCGTCGCGCTCGACGCGGGCCTCCTCGAAGACGGCCTCCTCGGCTGAGGCGATGGCGAGCGGGTCGCGGGGCTTGGCTGACGACGACGACGACTCGAGCTGGGAGAGCCTCTTCTCAACGCCGCCCGTCGGGGCCTTGAGCCGCGCCGTGAGGCCGAGGCGGCGGTAGTTTTGCGTCAGGGTCTCCTTCTTGTTCCTGGGAATGGGTGTCTGTGGTTAGCTACAGCTCAAAGTTGGTTTCTTTTTACTGCTCCCAAGAAACAGAGACCGGCGCGGTCGTTGGGGAGGGGCGAGGAGAGACGGAGGGTGTGGTTCAGGCGTACCAGTTCTTCGCGATGATGTCGTTGCCGAGCGGGTTCAGGAGCTTCTTGGGACGGTTGGGCATCTTGACCTTCTGGCGGCCGGAGCGGCGCTTCTTCTTCTGAAGGACGGAACCCATCGTGTGTGTGTGTGTGTGTGTGTTTACGGCGCTGTCGCTAGAGAGGGTTTAACGCAACGGTGATTGGGGCGCAGGGTAATTGTAGGAGGTAGTCGAGTCTTAGTTTTGTAGACCTTTGAAGCATGAGGCGATGGCACTTTGGAGGGCGCCGGACTGCTCCGATTGCTTTGGAAGCCGGCCCTCGAATTTTTTTATCTTATCGGGGAGGGGGCCCAGTCCTCAGTCCCCCCAGTCCTGTTCTGGACTAGCGCACTCACCCACACCGAGGATCCCTGACCGAGACCTCTGCCCCACCCACGTCGCACACCGGGTCTACACTACCACCGGAGCGCACTCCTAACCTCGTTCACGCCACCTACGATGGTATCCGGCCGAAGTTTTTTCCCCCTGTTAGGTAACTAATGCTCACCCCCCTACTACAGAACTTTACTTTTGGTGAATATTCCCCTCTATCATGATGTCAGCTATGGGGGATAACATCATAGGGGGGAAAAACTTACCCCTGCCACCCTGTACCTTTGCTTTCATTTATACTTTCGGAACCTCACTTGCTCTCCCCGGAAGCGAACCCACCGCCTCCAGCTTCTCGACACATAATCCAAACTCCCTCATGTCTGCAACCCCGGTTTGGCCCAAAGGACGAGCGAACTCAAAACATCAAGGTTTAGTGTGAACGGGAGGCCGTCGCCGAATGCAGGAGCGGCCAATATATTAAACCTCAAAAGGAATCCCAGGCTTGGCCAAAGTGCCACAAACCAACGCCGTCTCGCCGCTGCGTCGGACAAAAAGGCAACCCCCCCCCCCCCCCGAAAAACCTTCCCAGATCAGAGCGCCGCCGCTATGGACCTCCTGGTCTCCCACCACTTGCCCACCATGTCGGCGTAGAAGCGGTGGTAGGCTCCCGCGTCGTCGGGCGTGTCCACCTTGCCGTTCTCGTAATGCCACGGCTTGTCCTTGCCGATGAAGTGCAGGACCTTGTGCTGGTCCTTGTACCGCAGCGCCGCGGGGATGTAGAACCGGTACACGCTGTGCATCTCCATGTTGTAGGTGAAGCTGAGCCGGAACCAGTTGCGCTCGCCGGCGCTGCTGTCCTCGCCGGCGCCCTTGCCCCCGTGCTGCTGCTTCTGCCGCATGAGCACCGTCGACGGGTGGTTCTTGGTGCCGTCCCCGAAGAAAACGTTGAGCAGCCCCTGGTCGCCGCCGTCGAACGAGTCGACCCGCGTCGCGAAGGCCGTCAGCTCGGCGTACGTCGCCGCGTCGGGCCGCAGCAGCATGACGCCGCTGTTGAAGCAGTCGGGGAAGCCGATCTCGGGCGAGGCGGCAAAGGTGACGGACTCGGGCAGCTCGAAGACGTGGTCGAGGTTCGACAGCACGAGCGTGTCGGCGTCGAGGTACAGCACCCGGCGGAACTGCGCGAGCGACCAGAGCTGGAGCTTGGTCATGGTGGCGTGCAGGTCCGGGCGGCCGATGAGGTCGAGGTTCGTGGTCGTCAGGGCCGCCATGGCCGGGACGGGGATGACGCGGTCGAAGAGGCCGCGCAGCGTGGCGATGGACTCCTCGGACATGGTCTCGGGCGTGATGATGACGCATCGCGGGATCCTCGTGCCGGTCGCCCTGAGGGACTGGGCCAGGACGGCTGCCGCTGCAGTTTGGGCTCGTGTAAGTCGGCGGCCGGGCGAGGGTAGCAGAGGTGGGGGGGGTTGAGACACGATGCTTACCGACAACATAACCATCATTCGTCACCAGCTATTTGTGTACGTGTAAGTCGAAGCTTCTCCCTGCATGGGAACCGTGTAGGTCGTCTCACAGTACAGTATGCCACGTCCTCTGTGGTCGGTTGAAGGCTACCCATGTTTGGCTTGTTCTGGCGTTGTCGTCTATGGTCTATAAGTTGCGTGTAAGTCGACACAAATCGTAAAGAGCTGCTACTCCAATCTTGCGCGTGTAAATCCAGAGCAGGCGGCTACTATATAGCTGAAGGGCAACATGTGCTAAACTCAAACTATATCTCTCCTCACTCCAAACAACATACCAGGGGGGGTCCCTCTACGTACCCTGCCTCAGCGTTGTCCACAAGATAATTCTACTGGTTTGTGGAACGAGCCCATCGGACTATTTGAGTTGCATGGCGCAAGCCGAGCTGACTGGTCGTCGTTGTGCTTCCCAGCTCCCTGCTGTGGCCATCGTAACGGTCTCCCTCAGCCATCGTCCCGTCCTGGTTGGACCGGTTGCCAGCGTCCGACGCAGCGGGTTGGTGGAGGAGGAGGAGGAGGATGAAGGACGCACATGCCACGAGAAACGTCGACTGTACTGCACTATGCAAGTGACTCGTGCGACATGTCCTTTCACCTCAGCCAGGCTCCCCAGACTCTCTCTGCCGATCCATCGGCGCATGAAAACCAAGAAACCTTGATTGAGGAGGAGGGGTTGCGGGTACACGATATGTCCGTTGCGGGCAAGACGCCCCCATTGGCGGCGCGTCGCTTCCAGTCACCGTGGCAGGTCGTTGGGAAAGGGTCGGCAATTGGCCAGACACCGACGGCGGTGATAGGCCATCTACGTAGTTAGTAAACCTCATTACCCGCTGGCAGGAACGACATGGGCATATGCCGGGTTCGCCCAAAGCTTGGCGGTGTTCTGAGCAGACCAGGCCGCAGACAAAGCTTCCCAGGCGGGATCTCCACCTCGCCCCGTCCCCCCCGCAACGTCTTTCCTGCAAGGACCGGTGCGGTCCAAACCTTCTCCGGACTGCCAATTTCTCCCTAACACTTCACGAAGACGAGCAGCACCAACCAGCGGCTTTGTGCCGTCGGGCACTGTAGCCTTCCACGACAGCCTCGCCGACGTACGAGTCCAGTGTATCACGTTAGCCCCCGGTCCTCGCAGATTTTGAGACTCGGCAGCGTTGGGAATGTCCGAGAGGTAACTGTAAATGTAAATGATGGGGTTCGTATAGCCCCTCCCTCCTTCATATGGCGTAAATGTCTGGAATGGCGCGTCAGGCCAGGGTGGGCTGTATCACGGTTGTCAAAGCGTACCTAATAAGCACTAGGAAGCCCGAGGCAGCCCTTGCCTCGTTTTCTGGTTCGCTGGCACTGGGCAGGCGGTGGGGGGACGAAGCAAAGTTTATCGGGTCTTCGGCAGCTAGGACGAAGGTCAAGGGGGGACCAAAGTCCCCAAAGGCGCGTCTTTGGGTGCGCTTGGCCCGCCAGGGCTGCGTATATCCTTGTCGCTTGCCATCAAAAGGAGAGATTCTGATATTCCAAATGTCTTTCGATATCATCCGGCGCCCCAACCACATGTCATCCTTCCTCTGAACTCGGTTTGGCTGCTTGGTGGGGCACTTTGGAGCCATCGACGAGCTCATAAGACTCGCTCTGAATGCTATGACTCTGGCACGACATTGCTTCCGGGTTTTGCCGTGCTACGATCCCATCAGAAACCCACGTCAGGATTTTCCACGCTGCTTGGAGAAATACGAGATCTGCGAGGAGGATGGAGAACAGCAACACCCCCCATCCCTTCTGCTGAGGAACGGAGCAGAGGTATTGAGTGACGACGGTGGCGTTGGAACAGCCCAACGGTCCTGTGAGAGGCCGAATCAGGCGATAGCTCTCTTTGAGATCTATCTGGTCTCCACCCGTACCGTCGTCCCCGGGACTCGGGATCGTCTTGTAGCGGTCTGAATCCATCACCCGCACTGTGAAAGAATCATTCAAGAGCCCCCCGCGTACTCGGTTGAGGTCGTCTGGCGCCAGGATTGCGTACCGGAGACCATCTTCGTCGAGCAACAGGCTTGGCAGCTGGCAACTACCCAGGTCCAACGAGAGCAGAGAGTACAGGATCTTGGCGTAATGAAGACCTTCAGTAAAGGTTGGCGAGCCGTAAAACTGCGTCGACTCGTGTTAGTGACAGGGTCTTGCTTGCTGTGGGAAGCCAATGAGTTTCGATGTTTACCTTGGAGTTGTAATCCGTGATGTTCTCAGCAAAGCCTTTATTCGCGATTAGGCTGTCATTGTGGGTCATCCACCAGTACAGATCGAAGAAGGTATCGGTCTGGATGCTTTTTGGAAACTTAACATGCTGAGCGGCCTTCGAGGGGATGTCAGACTTACTCATTTTCTGACGGTTTTGTGTTGAACGTCAAACCCGCACGAACGACGTATCTGTCACGCAGGCTCATTTGAGATGCCACAGACATCACCCCGCTCCAGTATGTGTTCAGCAACCTGGTCCCCCACCAAACACTGGCGTGTGTTTGATGATCGTCATTAACGACATAGACGTACTTGCGATCGCCTCTGCCCACGCCCGTGGTCGCGAGTGTTATGGTCACCAAGCCGTCGTCGGTAACGACACCGCAGCTCACCGTCGCCTCTGCCGTCGACTCTAACCACGATATCCACCACGATGGCGCCGCGGTGTCGACCTTTCTTAGCTTGATGTTTATGGTTGTCGGTACGCAGTCGCGGAGGAAGTTGTTCTTGTAGCGGACCGCAGGCTGTGATCTTTTTGCCGAATCTTCAATGGCCTCGACTGTGTACCGGAATCCCTGGTTCGAGGTGAAGAACGAATCGCCGACCGACAGCAGGCGCGGTTGGCATTCTGCCTGCACGTCGCTCTGCCAGTTGAATGGGGGCTTCCTATACCAACTTCATGGATGGCTGTGTGTCAGCCCAATGCCGCGCCATTGCACCGGAACACGTTCACATACAGCCCGTTTGCCGAGTCTTCCGTAGCGTTGGGGTCGGATATGTAAACGCTCTTCAAGTAAAATCCATTGGCACTCAGGTTGGCCAGGGAGAGGAGAACAGCGAGAACAAGACCGCCGATGACGACGACTGGCGTAAACCACCGAAAGGGGTACGGTTTGGTTATCGGGTATGAGAACCATGATCTGTGCATATTGCCTGCCGGTTCCGGTGCCTACAACCTGAGTGATTTAGGGCTGGGTGAAGACGAGCTCCTCAAGACGGCGGAGCGATATGTTGACTATAGCAGATCCTCATATATATGAGCGTGAGGCCTCTCTGCAATTGCAGCATCCTTGGCTTTATTAGTAAATGGTGGCGCTGTTTGTGTGTAGCCGTAAGCGCAGAGAGCGTCTCCGGACCAATCGCATCGGACTACAGATATTGCTGTGTATTTCTTCTCCCGCTTCAGTGTCTCGAACGACACCGTACACTGCGATAAGCTCTGCATGATGGCTGCAGGAAGAGCTGGATTGTGTTGCACCTGTAGGCAGGCTGCGCTGTCGTGATTGAAGTTGTGGTTGATAACGTCGCCCACCCACTCTTTGCCGCCCCCACGCTTCGCCACCCCCAACACCGCAGATAGACATCCCATAGCCATCAGCAACTTCAACAAACTATTGATTCTATCCACCACCCACTGGGATACAGTCGCCAGCCTCACCAGGGCAATATGAAGCGGTGGATTCGTCCATCACACTTCCAGCATCGGCAGCTTGTTCCTGGTCATGCCGGATATCCTGGAGGGTTGCAAAGTTGGCCACATGGCTGCGGATGTGGCAGAATCCCATTCCTGGCCATCCTGCGTGCCTGCCCAGCCCGGCAGCTAGGCTAGCTAGGCAGCCTGTCTGGCTGGTGCGGCTGTACCGTGACGTCCGGGGGCGGAAACGCGACGTTCTCTTTCTTGTCGATAACGCTGCGGTGAGACGCAGCCTTGTGACGACAGCGACGATTTCGTCCTCAACCTCGAAAACCCTGGACGAGTAGAGGGTTTCCCCTGATACGAGTCTTGGCAGATTGCATAACCCTGCGTTCCTGGCAGGCACCAAAGAACACCGTCTCCTCGGGGCCGGAAATGGCGCCTAGGGTTATCACAAAGGATTGGGTTCAAGACATCAAGGTGCGACGGAGCCCGCCATACCGGGCTGGCGGGTTGGTCTTGACGACGCAACCTAATAGACGCCAATCCCCAAGGTTGGGGAGCTGGGGAGCCCAAGACATCAGGGTCTCTCGTATTACGGCGACCCCCTTCCCCGCGTTCTCCGCACGAGAGCGCCAAGCGCTATTACTTTCCGTCTGCCTTTTCTTTGATACGCCACTCGCCATCTCAAAGCATCCAAAGTAATTGCCCGAGCTTCCCCAACGCACACCCTCCATGGCCTAAACGAACTTCTCCGAACAATGGTGGCTTGTCTCGAGCCATGGCAATCAACATCCAGAAGCAAACGTCGCCAACGCAAAGCAGCAGTCACAGATATATATCATGGCGGCGCATCGTGTGTCATGACCAGTTTCATTCAACGTCAAAAGTAGATGGTATATATCCCCTATTACAGGTCGTCGTCATTAGCAAGCCTCCCCCCTCTCGTCCCCGTCAACCCTTACACCAGCTTCCAGACGCCGTCGTTGATTTCGATCTTGACGTCGCGCTTCTCGTCGATGCTCTTCCTGCCGGCGTGGAGGATGGCGGTGGTAGCGATTGTGTTCTTGAGGGTCGGCAGGCCCTTGGCATCGAGGTCTTTGGGCTTGAGCTGGCCGGCGTTGACCTGCCGGCAGCCGTCGACGAACTTCTCGATGGAGATGTAGCCGTAGCCGGTCTGGCCGTTGAAGTTGCCGTCCTCGTCGGGGGCGTAGCGCATGTAGAAGGGGTTGTACCACGTGAGCTGGCCGGCGGCGTCTTCGGCGACGTCGTAGCCACGCTTGGCCTGGTTGACGCGGATCTCGCCGTTGGCGGCGAGGTAGTGGAAGTACTGGTTCGAGTGGACGCCGGCGCGCTGCGGCGCGGTCCAGCTGGCGGTGTAGACGCCGGTGGCCCTCTTGCTGGGGTCGCCCGTCTTGACCCAGTCGACGAGGACGGTGATGGTGTCCTCTGTGGCGGGGTCGCAGCCGAGGTCGGTGGCGATACCCTTGGAGGCCGAGGCCGTGACCTTGACTGGCACGAAGCCGAGCTGGGTGACCATGGAGTCGCAGATGTCGACGTGGTGGCTGTTGAGGTAGTAGGAGATGTCCGAGTCCTTGCCGGCCCAGGCCTTGAAGGTCTCGAGCTGGAACTTGGGCTGGGACATGTAGCTGTAAAAGTAGTTGAAGTCGCCGAGCTTCTGGGCCTTGAAGCGGGCGTCTGAGTAGGCGGGATCGAAGCGCTTGTGGTGCTCGATAAAGACGTAGACGCCCTTCTTCTCGGCGGCTTCGATGAGGGCCTGGTGGTGGTCGAGCTCCTTGACGGCGGGCTTGGTCAGCAGGACGTGGATGCCGCGCTCAATGGCGTAGAGGGCGATGGGGTAGTGGGTTGTGTCGGGGGTGAAGATGGTAATGGCGTCGCCGGGCTTCAGCGCGTCAATGGCCGTCTTGTAGGACTCGGGGTCGACCTTGTCGTTGGCGGGGAACGAGTCGAAGGAGGTGTCCAGGCCGTTGTAGAACTGAGTGATGTTCTTGTCGAGATGTTCCCCTTTCGGCAGGTTAGTCTGGTGGTCCACGCGGGAGCCGCGGTGAGTCGAGACCTACTGATGGCGGGAAACTTGGTGCCGTTGACGCCGACCATGCCCAGCCGGCTGACCTTGCCCCTTCTCCTCAGGTCGAAGAGACTGAGACCGACGACGCCGACCTTCTTATCCGAGCCAGAGGCACCGCCACCGACAAAGCCGGTGGTGTACTCTCCAGTACCGACCTGTGAAAATGTGAGCCGTGGGAAGTGAGAGTGTGCGAACGGACCGGCTTACCATCAAGACGTTGAGAGGCTCCATTTTGACCGCGTCGTGGGGTTCAATGGCTAAGAATACTGGGGAAGAGGGGGAGGGGTTGATGAGATATTGGGGGCACGGAGAAGACAAGACGGGGAAGCCACGACAAAAGTGCGATCACGGGTTATTTAAAGGAACTATCGTTTGGGCCAAGCAACGGAGGAGGGACAGCCCGGATGGGACGCAGCGAGAGGGAACAGGCTGAATAGACAATGGGCCACCGGGGGGGCACCCCTAGATTATTTTGGACGAAGCTCGCTACCTATGCCGGCCCAGGGGAGGAGCTCTCGTCTCGTGTCGTGTTGGTCTCGTAGCTCTCCCCTCCACGGCGAGCTGGACCCGGAATAATTGAGGGGCAGAGAGGAAGGCAATTGGAGGGAATTCACAGCCCCGCGCCCCCGTGCGTCAGCTCCCCCCAACTCTCTGTCCCCTTCTCATACCCGCCCGCCCCCTCGACAGTGCAATGGGGATTTGTGTAGCTCTGGCCGATTGCTGGTATGACGGGCGGATGGCGCGCCGCCTGCGTGGTTTGATTCTTCAACGTCGAGAGGCGCCGGCTGCCCTGCAACGTGCGCGTTGCAGCACGGACATTTGCACCCAGTGGTCGCGGAGCGCGGGGCGCACTCATTCAGACACGTGAGCTGGGTGCCACGATGGGGCACTGAGAAAAGGCCATTCCGAAAGTGGCCGAAACCACGGTGCCGTCGACGCCGGTGATCGGAGCGTGTAGCGGCCGACGCAAGCCCATGCGGCGCGGCGTCCACAGACTGACGGACAGATGGACGACGTATGACTTTGTTGATCTCACTATCTTGCTAGATTGGTAGCTACATGGCTGCTTCTTTTGCCGATTCTTTTGGAGCTGGTCGAGACGGGTTGAAAAGCCAAGAGTCCATCTGCACCAGCTCAACCTTGAAAACATGACTCTCCGTCGAAAGCGACTTGAGGATGGACAGAAGACTCTCCTTGCAAACGGGTGAAGCGAGGTTGCAGCAGTTCTGAGTTGTCCCCCCACGCAAGTCCATTCTGCCTCCTCGTGCTGGTAGCCTAGTGTACCAAGGCCCCCAATATGCCCCGCATCTCCGCGGGGCATGGACCGTTGGCACCGTTGAGTTTGTCTCTCGGTTGTCACCGCTCTAATCCATACAGTCTGTTGCGTTGGCAGCGTCCGAAACCTATTTTTCAGTCTGTGCACCTGCGCCATATAAATATAACCTTATGTAAATTCGCGTTTTTTAGCTAGCAGGATCTAAAATCTGCATTACCTAACATTAAATAGTTATAATAACTTAAAGTTACGTATACTAGTAATAACAATAATAATAAGGGGATTTAGACCTATATAAAGCTACTTATTAGCTATATATCTAATTATCTCTTTAACACTTACCCTGTAGATAGGTTTGTCTCTTATTATAATAGTTTATAAGAGCACGCCTTTTAAATAGGTAGCTAGCTAAGTTAATAAAGTTATAAGAGTAATATATATATAAAAAGAGTAAAGTCTATAATAATCCTATTACTATTACTTACTACTATTATCCCTTACTAAATAAATACTAGATTAAATAAATATAATAGCGCTAAAGTTAAATAAGGATAAGTAGAGGAAAATAATATAAATCCTTAAGTTATTTAAGAAAATAGATAAAGAGATTACTATATAGCTAGGCTATACTACTTATATAGTCTAGTAATAGCGTTATTATTATAAAATAACTAGCTAAGTAAAGATTTATTTTACTAGTTAGTAAAGCTAAATAAAGTTAGAAGTATAGTAACTATATAAGTTATTAAAGCTTTTTATTTATTATAATAACTTTAGCCTTAAAGAAATATAAGATTTTTTTTATAAGTAATTTAATATAAAGGTTTATAAGTTAATAATTAGTTAGTAGCTTTATATAGCTAGGTAAACGTTAAAGTCTATTTATATTATTACTACCTAAAAAGATAAGGTACTATAGTATAACTAAATATATACTATTTATAAATACTATTTAAAGTAATTAGTATTTATTAATAAGTTAGGTGTTAATAAATATATAGGTATATAGAGGATAGGTTAGGCGCTAAAAGGACTATTACTATATTAAAAGGATAAGCTTAAATATAAGTAGTAATACTAAATTCTTTCTACTTTTACTATAAATAGTATATTTAATATATTAATATACCTAGGTATAATAAATAGTAATAAGTTTATAGTATAAATTTAAGATAAGGTTTTACTTAAGTGTAGTGCCTTTCTTATAGTAAAGTTAGTTATTATTATAAATAATACTAGCTTTTACTACTAATAAGATATTTAAGAGGTATATAATTTAGCTAGTATATAACTATTATATTTACTACTATACTTACCTAACTTTAACCTTATTAAGGAGGTATTTAGTAACCTTAAGAAGCTCTTTTATAAGTAGTACTTAGGATAAAATAAAGATAAAGAGGATTTATATAACTTTAATAAGCTGCTTTATAATTATATAGTAAAGGTTAGTTATAGTATTAAATAGATAAAAGGCTATTTTTATTACTTATTTATTAACTTTAATAGTATATAAGGGTTATTTAATAATATATTAATTAATAAAAATAGTAGTAATATTAAAGGTGCCTTTATAACTAGTAAAGAAAGTGCTATTATTAAAGTAGTAATAAAAGAAAAAAATAACTATTAATAAATAGTAAAGAAATCTAACTATAGTAACTACTTATTTACTTTTACTACCTTACTTTTTATTAGTATTATTATATTACTTTTTATCTTTATTACTTTTATATTATTACTTTTTATTTTTATTACTTTTATATAAAGCTATTAATAACTTATTATTACCTATATGTATTAGGTTATTTATATTACTACTGTATAACTTATTAAGGCTAAAGTTATTTATCTTATTATATATTATAAAGTTAGGAAGGTGTTAACTTATATAAATAATTAGTAAGGATAAATTACCTAGTTATATAGGGGAAGAGATAAAGAGACTATTTATTACCTAGAGGTTAGTATAGTTATAACTACTAGATTTAATTTAACTAACTAAATCTACCCTTCTTAAGGTTACTTATCTTATTAGTTATAGTATTTATAATAAGTAGCTTATTAGCTTTATTAACTTTATTAACTTTATTAGTAATATATAGTAATTTATACTATTAGTTAAAGCTAGTAGAGTTATATTTACTACGCTTATAGTATTACTATATAAGTAGAAAAGTCTTTATTAACCTTTATATAGTGCTAATAAGGGATTTAGGTATACCTTTTTCTTTATACTACTTTTTTAGTATATACTAAATAACTACTAGGCTTAATAAAGAGCTCTATAGTTATTAAAAGGCTATATTAGTACTACCTTTATAGCCTTATTATTGCCCTTTAACTTTAAGAAACTACCTTATAAAATCTTAAACCTCTAGTAATTACGCTATAGGTAACTGCTCTTTAGGTTATAAGGGTAATAATAATAGCACTTTAGTCTCTCTTACTAAATATACTAGTAATAGGTTAATTACTAAAGTAATAGGTATATAATAATACTATTAGATTAGAGATAGCTACTATTATAAAGGAGGTAATTAATACTACTGCTATATAAAAGGGCTAACTTTTTTACTACTAAAGGATAAATTAACTACTATATTACTAGTAGAGTTATTTATAGTTAGTAAAAAAAGTCTACTAGTAGGATTTTTACCTCTTTTAAATCTTACTATAAAGTGTAAATTACTTATAACTTTACCTTATATAAGTAAATTATTTTTTTTACTAGCTACTAGGTAACTATAACTATAAGGCCTAGTAGTAAATCTTTTAAAGTTATATTTACTTTATAATAAAGTATTATATCTTACTAAGCTTTAAGATTATAAGTAAGTAACTTATAGTAGACTTTAGTAATAACTAAATATTAGTTAGTACTATTACTTACCTTTATATTATTATAGTAACTTATAAGATTTATATACTTATAATACTTTATTAGATTATACTATAAATCCCTTTTTATATCTCTTTTTTAGTTAATTTTATCCCTTATTAAATTTATTACTATTTTTTTTAAATTAATATATAATAGTTAGCTACTATAATCTAGTTACTTACTATAGTTAATTAGCTTACTATAGTTAATTAGCTTATTATAGTTAGGTTACTTACTTTTTAACTTTATAGTAGATTATAGTATACTAAATACTAATATAATAAAACTAGTAAAGTATATAAGATTTATACTAAAAAAGATCTTTTAAGTCTTATAGCTAAGGTTACTTAGTTATTAGCTAAATTTAGACTATAGTAAGGTTAGCTATTTTCTATTTACTTTACTAAAGTTATTACTATAGTAGATATTATTAACCCCTTATATAGTATACTACTTTTTACTAAACTTTACTATTATTTATAACTTTAAGAGCTAGTATTACTTAGTAAGTTACTTTTAAAGGTAATCCTTTATATCCTTTTAGATTTACTTTTTTTACTTTAACCTAATTATTATACTTACTATTAACTAACTTATTAATTACTATACTATTTAAAAAGGCTAGACTTATAGTATAAATTTAATATTATTAAATTAGAGGTTAAGGGTAAAGTATATTATTACTTTAGTTAGTAGTAAAGTAGCTACTACTATAGCTACTTACTATTACTATAGTAATAGTACTAAAGTTTATAATAAGGTATTAAATAGATTTAGTGTAAATAGTACTTATTATATAAGCTTTTTATTATTATAGGTAGGCTTATTACTATTATTATTATTACTATTACTAACTTTTTTTTTTATTAATAGTTACTTAGGCTACTATTAACTTTTATAGCGTCTTAATAGTTATTATTAACTTTTTTACTACTACTAACTTTTTTACTACTACTAACTTTTTTACTATTACTAACTTTTTTACTACTACTATAGCTACTACTAACTTCTTTAGCGTCTTAATAATTATTATAGATTTTATTAACCTTACTACTAGTACTAGTGCTATTACTATAAGGCGCTTAATTACTATACGTAATACTCTTTTATAAGCAGCCTTATAGGCTTAAGTACTGTTAGCTAGTGGCGCTAGTAATACCTTTTTACTACTAGGGGTAGTAACCCCCTTTTTTAGCGCTATTATTTAATAATAGTAGTAATAATGATAGTAATAAGCTTATTAATTAAAGCTATTTATACTATGGTATCTACGTAAAAATCCATAAAGTGGTGGCTACTTAGTAAGGTAACCCCCCTGTGTGACCCTAACTAGGGTGGTTAGTTGTGATGGTGTTTCTAACGCACGGACTGAAAAATAGGTTTCGGACGCTGCCAACGTAACAGACTGTAGCGCTGGCGGAACCACATACTACATCGCACGTAGTGCAAGACGTCTTTTGCAGTTAAAGCGCCCGACAGCAAGCATTGGTCGACTGTTACATGGCCCAGCGTCTTCCTCTCGAGACGTTGGCCAGAGGTTCCTCACTCCGAACACAACGCGTAATGATATATGTATGTGTTCTTGCTTACAGCAGAAGATGAGAAACATGGCATGCAAAGTTTGATATTCAGCAATCCCACCCCAGCCGGCTAAAGGGGACGACCACGAGAGGCTGTGCTTAGGTTTTAATCAGCTACGAGCTCGAGGGGCTCTGACGCCCTTCCACGGCCTCTTTAATGTGTACATAACCAACGCAAGTTTCGTGGTACATAATTATCGATGTTTTAGAGTAACAGGGCCATCAGGCAAGAAGCACACACACGTGTGGGTAACCGGAGTGTACGGAGTATCTACATACCCACCCTACTTGCCCTTCCCAGACAAACGTTGCGCTCTTCTATTGGCGGAATATCCTGTGTCGATTTCTCCGTCCACTGACACGCCTTCTACCATCTATCTACACGTATTCGCATCGTTTCCAACCTTGTTGCTAATGCTACGCTTAACCATCATCCACCTTTCTCGTCAGGGAGCTTTGCAACGGGGTATTAGGTATGCGGTGCTCAACACTTTCAGTTCAGCTCAACGTGGCCTGCCGGCTGCTGCTATATTCGCCCGATCTGACCATAAGCCTTGAGAGGGGAGGGGCCTTTCGGGACACAGTCGTGGCTTAGTACGCCGGGCAAGGAAATAATTGTCTATTCCATGGGCTTCTGCTGACCGCAGCGTCCGCCGCCTTCCGCCCAAATCACCGTTGCTGTCGTGGCTCTCGTTGCGCCGTCTTCCATCCCGCCTGCTACCCTCTTGCGTCGGCACCAATAAGTCAAGATGCAAATGACGACAAAAGGAAACTCCTGTCATGCACGCCGGGCGAGCAACCCCGAGGGCCGGCAGCCAATCGCCAGGTGATGGCCAGGCACCCTCCGTCGTGCAGGCCTGCTTGTCCCACACGACGCTACCCAGTGTCCGACAAGCCTCAAGCTGCATTGGGAACTACACATCACCCACTGGTCGTATCTCGCCCATCACCGTCTTGCGCTGGGCTTCTACGTACGAGTTCATATACCTTGCCCTTTGCCGAGCTGCCTCTGTGTAGATCTCAGGGTATCGACCGGGAGTATCTGGCTTATTGGAGCGTCCAACCTTCCTATTAGACCCCCGTATGTGACACGGGCCTACAGCAAAGTGCATCGTCTCTGCCGTCCGTCCCTCATTAAGGCCCGCGGGCTGCATAGAGGTAGGTTCTGGATAGACCATGGGCGAGGGTGCTTGATTCGACCTGCGACGTCCAAGGAAAATCCCTTGTTGTCTCGAATGCCAACGAAATTCCTAAAACTTTAGGAAATGGCTCTTCGTCGGCATTATTGAGAGGCCTGCGGAAGTTTCGGCATGTCGATGAGCTGAGGAAACGGCTCGAGTCTGGCTACCACCCGCCCATCGGGTTGGCCCAAACGTCATGTGCTTTTGCCCCCTTTTTTTTCTTAGACGTGTAGGACTGACTCTTCAACCCCTTCACTAACGGTTCGCAAACATATCTGGTCTCCTTCTGTCAAGATGTACAAACTCGTGTCCTGCCCCCAGCAACGGCTCGCAGACAAAAAGTGCATATCGCAGGACGGTTACCAGCGATGCACATCCAACTCCGCACACACCCCCCCTCCCCCCCCCCCTCCATCTCCATTTCTCCTAGCGTCTTTTTCCCCCATGCCCCTCCCCCAACTGGGGGTGCAGGGGCGTCCCAGGGTGGCCCGGCTCCGTAGTGCAGGCCTTAGCTCATCAGGCCCTGGTCTCAAGTCGACATGATGTTGGATAGTTCGGGTCAATGTCCACACGAGCAATCCCTCAAGAAATGTCTAATATTTATTTGCAGACACATCCCACCCCACGCGTCGCTGCTGAGCCCGCTGTAATCTCATTAGCTCATGAATAAAACCGTTGTTGTCCGCCTCTTGTCCCGTTGCCCTATAAATATAGTACCTACCGCTGCCTATCCCTCTACTCAGCGCTTCTTCCCGCATCGCCTGTCGTAGTCTTCTGTCTGCTCCGGTCTGCTTCCCTCTCTTTCCCACATATAGGCCATCACAGTCACAGCTTCACAGCTTTGTATCTACCAAACCAGCCCATCATGACCGCCTCCAACGGAAGCAACGGCCATGCCACTCGCCGGGCCCTCCCCGTCGGCATCTACGCCCCCACCATGACCTTCTTCGACCCTGATACGGAGGATCTCGACATCCCCACCATCAAGAAGCACGCCGAGCGTCTCGCCAAGGCCGGCCTCGCCGGCCTGGTCGTCATGGGCTCCAACGGCGAGGCCGTCCACTGCACGCGCGAGGAGAAGCTGGCCGTCACCAAGGCCACCCGCGAGGCGCTCGACGCTGCCGGCTTCCAGAGTACCCCCATCATCATTGGCGCCACCGAGGGTAGTGTCCGCGGCACCATTGAGCTCTCCAAGGCCGCCAAAGAGGCCGGCGCCGACTACTCCCTCATCCTGCCCCCCTCTTACTACCGCGCCCAGACAGACGAGACCGCCATCCACGACTACTTCATCGCCGTCGCCGACGAGAGCCCCATCCCCCTCATCCTCTACAACTACCCCGGCGCCGTCTCCGGCATCGACATGGACAGCGACCTGCTCATCAAGCTGGCCGCCCACCCCAACATCGTCGGCACAAAGTTCACCTGCGGCAACACGGGCAAGCTGACCCGCGTGGCCCTGGCCACCAACGCGAAGACCCCCTCGTCCGAGGGCTCCGGCTACATGGCCTTCGGCGGCATGTGCGACTTCACAGCCCAGACCCTGGCCAGCGGCGGCAGCGGCATCATCGCCGGCGGCGCCAACGTCATGCCCAAGGTCTGCGTCAAGGTCTGGAACCTCTACTCCGAAGGCAAGCGGGACGAGGCCATCGAGCTCCAGAAGAAGCTCAGCCGCGGCGACTGGTTCCTGACCAAGGCTGCCATCGCCGGCACCAAGGGCGCCATCCAGAGCTACTACGGCTACGGCGGCTTCCCCAGACGCCCGCTGAAGCGCCTCGACAAGGCCAGGACCGCCTCCATCGAGGAGGGCATCAAGGAGGTCATGGAGATTGAGAACTCGCTCTAGGTGAACGGCTTCACTTTTTTTCTCTTCTTTTTTTAATTCGTCTTCTTCCCAAATTGTCTTTGGGCGAGTGATGCTGCATGGCTGAAAAGATGCAAATCACACAAGTCGCCCACCCCTTCTATGCGCATAGGCCTCCCCTGACGTGACAGGTAGTGGGGTCATCGGGCGAGCCACCGATCACCGCCGTCGGGGGCTGTTAGGTCGCGGGACCAAGCGTCCCGGGGCTATGATGCCCCGAGACCTCGGTCCCTCCCGCTTCCACTGCAAACCACACCCCCACTAACCCCCCATCATGCGCCTAGGACATCTCATCCCAACGAAGGAGAGAAGAGAAAAAGAAATAAGAGCACACAGACCCGAATGGGCTGGCGTCTGTGGGTGGTTTTCCCGGGAGTTCTGACAGGGGAGCAATCAAATTTACGTTTATGACGTTTATGATTTTTTTTTTTTTATAAAGCTTGCATAGGGTTGGGAGCAGGAAGGCAGGGGAGGCGGTCAATAGTTACACGAGGCCACTGCCAACGCGCGCCCGCGTATTAGCATATGGGACAGGGGCTCCGCAATAGATTTCTAGTGCATCCGTCATGTGTTCGTGCCTTCGTTGCCAGTCCTTCTGTCTATATATAATTGTCTAACAGTGCGTCTTGTTTGCCTATTATCCACTTTTTAAAGTCGCGGAACGTAAGTTTCCATCTCTCGCTTCACCCCCCCCCCCGGTGAACATGCCACCCGGCCCCACGAGTGCTTCTACACCTTGAACCGCCGCGGATCCAGGGATGAAATGTCGGAGCTGGTGGGCTTGCCGTCGAGAATGTACTCGGACATCAACTTGCCCGTGGCGGGGCCGTTCTGGATGCCCCAGCACGTGTGTCCCGCCGCCAACCATAGGCCGGGGACCGATGTCGCGCCGATGAGCGGGCCTGAGTCGTGCTGCGGTAGGTAGCAGGCCTGCTTCGCCTTGATGGGCGCCGCGACCAACACCGGGCTGACAGTGGCGATGTAGGAGATGATGTCGTCGCAGTTGGCCTCGTCTACTTGCACCTTGTCGGCCGTCTCCGGCAGGGGCGCGTTCTCGTCGGGTTCGCCTGCGGGTCTGCTGTGAGCATCATGTGACAGTGGCCGGGGTAAGAGGCTGTAAGAAAGACACAAAATATGGGGGCGGGGGACGAGGAAAGGGGGACGAACCACAGGCGTACACCTCGCCGTCCGGGCGGGCGTAGATCTCCGGGTCGACGACCCGCTTGTGCTTCCTCTTCTGGCCCTTGCTGGCGCGGTGCTCCGGCACGAAGTCGGCCGGGAGCTTGATGCTAGTGAAGACAGCGTATGGGCTGACGTTGGCGTTGTAGACGACGCTGTGAGCCCGCAGGCCGGTGACCTTGGAGGCGGGCAGCAGGCGGCCGGTCCAGGGCCCCGCCGACACGAGTACATCCGTCACGCCCTCAATGGTGCACGTCTCTCCCGACTCGCGGTCGAGATACTCGACGCCTGTGACGCCCTCGCCGGACGAGGCGATGGCCGTGAGCTGTGCGTTGGTGCGGATCTCGACACCCTTGTCCTGCGCAAGCGCCGCCATCGACGTGGTGAAGAGGTACGGGTGCACCTGCGCCGTCTCGGTGGCCCCCGGCATGCCCATCTCCGCGTACGACTCGACGGCGTCCCTGTCGACCCAGTCGAGGTCCCGCGGGAGCACAGACTCCTCTAGCATGGCCTCGGCGGCGTCGTCCTGCTTCGGCAGCCTCTCCCAACCCTTCTCCTGCTCGCCGTCATTGGCGCCGGGCGCGACGGCCTCCGGCTTCGCGACGGCCTGCCTTGGCCTTTCGAGCATCTGCTTGGTGACGCGGGCCTCGAAGCTGCCGCAGTTCACTCGGCGATATCCCCATCGCTTCTCGCCCCCGTGCTCAGCGGCGAGCTCCTTGTGCAGGCGGTACGACAGCGGCACGAGGCACTGCGGGTAGGCCCAGAGGGCGAGCAGGCCACCTGCCTTGCCCGAGGCCCCGGACGCGACCGCCGTGGCCTCGAGGAGGGTGATACGGTGCAGGGCGGGATTGTACTTGGGGTGTCTGGTGAGGAAGTAGGCAGTCGTGGAACCGATGATGCCACCACCTGCGAAGGACGCGGGAACACCCCCCCGTCTGAGATCAGCTTCTGGCGGGTGGCCTCGAGACGGCTCTGCGCGGGGGGGAACGTACCGACGATTACAATGTTTCGCTTGGCTTGGGGGTCCATGACTGGCAGAGACGGCGGTATCAATGCCTCTTTGATGATTCGTGCGGCGGCCAGTTGTAACGATTTCTCGCGGCGCTGTTTCTTCGTCTTCGTCTTCGTCTTCGTCTTCGCCTTCGCCTTCTTCCCGACGGCGGGCATTTCGTCACCGTGCAGCACGGGCCGGGGGAGAGTGGCGGGGTAGTCGTTCCTTATCGATAACGGGCGGTGATGGGATGCAGCGAGATTTGGCCCCCGACACAGCACAGCAAGCAGCACACCCCCCGATTGTGGCGGGTGGGTGCAGCTCGACCGACGTGATTGATCGGTCCACGGCACCGAGATAGACGGAGGGACTGGAATTAGCGACTGGCCCAGGGGAAACGCAGTGCAATTGGGGGGGAGGGGGGTTCTATCCAGATCTGGAAATCACCTCGGGAAAGGCGGGAGAGCCATGCCGGAAGCAGGATTGATCCGCCAGAGAATCGCCATGCAGTGGTGATCCAGTCGACCATGTCAGTCTTTCCTCAATCTGGACGGGTCGCCGTGCCTGGAGATCGAGTTGTCATCCATCAGTGGGATGCCGACTCGGACACCGGAACAACACATTAGCCCGACTGACCCCACTCTCCTATGACGGAAAAGTGGGGTTCCAAATCGGGGGCCCTGAAGCAGTTCTAAATGTGTTAGTCAAATCTAGATATTGGTGAGCGTACGGTACATAAATCGAACAAGAACACAACGTGTTTTTCTGGTTACCTAGAACAGTAATTCAGCAACTCTGGGGTTTGAAACACAAACAATAGTCGACAGAGGTGCCGTGCTCTGCACCTCTGCCGATGCAGAGCTCCCAGCTCTTCCGTCCATCGCAATTGAGTCCCACTTTTGGCCGGGACCCCCATCGCGGCCCCTCCGAGTTTGTCTCTTTGGAGCTCTAGCTTTCCAGAGTGTGCTCAGTGTGGACAGAGGTACTGGGAGGTTGCAACATTACCTGTAAGGGAGTGTAGCTTCGATGCTTGTGCGCATCGGTGCCGCGGGGTTCCATTGGAAACCGGATTGAAACTTCTTCCCGACAGTCCACAGCCTACCTACCCTTACATACTAGTACTTGCATCCCTCGTGGCGTCAACCAGTAGCATGTTCCGTCGGTTACATACCAGAGCCCCTCCTTCTCCCATAACAACCGCCGCTTCCGTATCTGTGCATCCGCGACATCGCCTTCCCTACAACTTACTCAAGACTCGAGCATCACCAACGCGATCGCTTCTTATTGACAACAAGCTCCAATTACGGAGTACCATCGCCGCAAACACGAACAAGCAGCTCCACACAACCGCAGCAATGGCATCGGCAACTAGCTTCTACGACTTCAAGCCCCTGGACAGTATGTGATGCCTCGTATCCTCCCCCCTAGCCTCCCTTCCTCCTCTCTCTCCGTGCATGCACGCCATCTCCCCGCAGTCGCGTCCCCGTCGCTGACACTCGTGCCGCACAGAGCGCGGTCAGGAGGTCCCCCTCGCCGACTACAAGGGCAAGGTCGTCCTCGTCGTCAACACGGCCTCCAAGTGCGGTTTCACGCCCCAATATGCCGGCCTCGAGAAGCTCTACAAGGACATCAAGGAGAAGCACGGCGACGACTTTGTCATCCTCGGCTTCCCCTGCAACCAGTTCGGCGGCCAGGAGCCCGGCTCCGACGACGACATCCAGAACTTCTGCCAGGTCAATTACGGCGTCTCCTTCCCCATCATGCAGAAGACGGATGTCAACGGCGACGACGCAAACCCTCTCTTCCAGTGGCTCAAGGATGAGAAGCCCGGCATCATGGGCCTCAAGCGCATCAAGTGGAACTTTGAAAAGTTCCTCATCGGCCGCGACGGCAAGGTCAAGGGCCGCTGGGCCAGCACCACCAAGCCCGAGTCCCTCGAGAAGCCCATCCTCGAGGAGCTGGAGAACAAATAAGGCTGTAGCAGTACATTGATACCCAGAGCGCGTCGCTCTGTCACGCCGATATTTGAGGGAGGGAATTAAGGGGCGTAGCTTCCATCGCGTCGGGGTGGCGGTGAGGAAGCGCCACTGTCTTTGACCAAGTTGAGAAATGTAGTCAAACGATATAGAGCAATCAGAGCGGTTTAATCTACCTTGGGGCCTTTTAACACGTGCCAATGACGTCCGGGAAACGTAATCTCACATGGTGAACCAAGGTCGTAAGCTGACTGCTTCCGTCTTTGTCGTCGCCCCAGCTGTGCCCCGAAGCCCCCCCACGCACTGCTCGCATTTGACAGCAGTAGTCCGTGACAAGCTTCGCGCCATTGAGGACACTTGGCCGTGCGGCATGCCAATGCTGCAAAGGCGCCGCGTTGGGCACCGCACCAGATTTAGGGCTGCTGGATTATGCCGTTTATGCACCTGCTCTGTCTGAGCTGATGGCGCTGTCCGCGTGAACCATAATACAACTACATGTCTTGCTCGCCCAAAACATATACTCCGGTCTCTTCAATAATTGGGCTGACGGCGTGTTGCATTCCATCATCCTGGCCTTCTTGTTCAGGTACCGTCAGGAACTCTGGTTTAGAAACGAGCTTGGCTCTTTGTGACATAATACAGACGGCCCTTCTTTGACAGTACGCGAAGAAAGCGGTACGGCTCTTCGGCCGCTGGCTTTCATGAGCACTAAACGAATAACTAACTGCATAAGTGTATCGTATCGACTTGTGTAATCTTGAGACTACAACCTCCGGCGTACACGAGACACATCATCAGGTTGGAAGAAGAAGAAGCCATGCCATTGAATTTTGATG